TCTATCTATCTATCTATCTATCCGTCTGTCCATCTAATACTGTATCCCTTAGTATAGTCTGTCACACTCCACCTTTCTATTAATGCTCTTGACTTGGATGTTTCTGATGAATTATAATTATTTATCAGGTTTGTATACAAGTTAGACCTTTATACTTAATAAATGATAAATTTTAAGTATTTCCTTTACCATGTCAGTTTGAGTCTTGTTCAGATAAAGCATCTTGCTCTCATGAACTTTTCTTAGCTCTTCTGACCTTTCTTCTCTGCAAAAAAATTATAAAAATAAAATAGTCACACATTTAAATAAAAAATTCAAATTTTAAAACCTGTTTGAAGCGAAGATATACTGACTTCTCCGAACCCCAGTATCCAATAGAATAGTAAATCTGCAGCTACACTTACCCACATCGCTTGACTGCTCTCTCAAATGTTCTTATTGCTGTCACTTTTATCTTTTCATAGTTTGTTATGAGCTTTTCAAGATCTCCTGTGTGAATTCTTTGCATGGCTGTACGCTCCTACAAGGTAATCAGTTAATTCATCATCAACACCACTAATCCCCTTTGTATTGCCATCTGTCACTCGATGCTTGCTTCTTAACCCAACACAATTTCTTTCATAATCCCTCAAAAAATTCCTAATAATTAAGTCAGCATTTGTCTACATGTCCACGCATAATTATTGTTTTCACAGCCATCAATCTTCCACTTTTAAGTCTTTCTCTTAATCACTTGTTTGTTCTCTGACATAAATAACATTGAAAGATTCAATTCATGTGATGAACATTTATAGCAAAGAACAACCAGGCTACATTTTAAATATTTTTTAAAAGATCTATTTAATCATTCATTCAGATTGTTTTACTCACCTTGGTGTATTTTTTTACGAGAGTTTCATTTTCTTTTTGATGTTTTTTGAAGACCTTGAGAAATGTCTAAAAAGTTATCAAAAGCACAAAACCATCATATACATGTGCATCAAACATCAATGCACCACTTTCATATTTTTCCTGAACTTGTTATGGCTTGTGGAGAAACATAGTTTGGAATTTGCTATTATTTCTGTCGGAAATGCCTTTTCTGACAATATACTCACGACTCACTTTCAATTGAAAAAACTGAACAATTTTATTCCGACTCCTCTAAGTTCACCAACTCTCTCACCATGTGCTTTTTTCTCTCATCCCAAAATGTTTTTTCTTCAGTTCCCAGCCTCCTTGGCTATGCTAGCTAGGGATGCCTGACTAATCTTACGATTGGGCATAAACAAACAAATCAATGCGGCTTAAACTCAACATAATCTTGACATTTCCAGTGCCATAGAATATTAGATTTTTTAATAATAATAATATAGATCGATTTTTATAGCGCATTTCCATGTAAATGCTCTAATGCCCTTTACAACACTGTGCTGGGGACTTTTGCAGACTGCCAGCCGCAGTTTTCAATTAATAGGAGAAATTTTACAGATGCCCCCTCCCCCCATTCCCAGTAAACAGGCCAGACCACATCACTGTAATCTCGTGATGTGGGTTCTTTAACGTCCCCTGCCAAAATTAACTAATTGATAGGTGCAGGAGACGGGACCTCCGGCTTTACGTCCTATCCCAGAAGACGAAGCAATGTGAGTGAAGCGTCTTGCTTAAGGACACAATGTCAAACCCCAGCCAGGACTTGAACCCAGACCATCTGACCCACAGTCCAGTGCACTGACCACTGGACTACTCACACCTCCCACTAATGGATTTTATCAAAACCTTAAATCCAACAGCAGGAGCCAAAATGTGTGACTTGCAGGACATTTTTTATAAAAGCCTGAGGTCTCAAGGGCTTTGTAGTTCAATTATATCGCTCAGAAAAATAGTTTTTCAAGCTGATTTAGTCATTAATTAGAGATGCTGCCATGAAGACAATTTAATGAATCAAGATTTGAACCACACATCATGTATCTCAAAAACATCTACCTTCACTTGAACCTGAAAGAGAGCTATGAGGGCACCCATAAAACATAACGAGCCTGTAGCTTGCCTAAGCCTCTTGGTTTCTATACAGGTTTCCTTGCCACATGCTAAATTTTCAGTTACATTATATCCATGTATATGTAATTCTTTTTATTTCCAATGATGTTTTTTAATTATAAGATGGCAAAATAAACAAATAATTTATTCCAGCCCTTGGATCATAGACTGCACTAACTCTTTTACACATTCTAGACATTTGAACAAATTAAGAGATAAAAGGTTATTAGTAACAGTCACCTTGTCCTTTTTCAGTTCTTCAACAATTACCGGAGAAAACTTAAAGTCATCTGCATAAAAAATGAGAAAGAGAAAAAGAGTGCATGATTAAACTGAAACTGGGAAAGCTTCAGTCTGTAGCTGCAATCTACCTTGATTTTTGACAGTTTTGCACATCCTAGCTTTGAGGCCCTGATAGGGTAAATTCTGATGGGCAACATGGTGTTGAAACAGGGACATCAGGGAAATGAAAATGCGACTTCAAGCACAACATTGATGAAATTGCGACAGCGACATCAGAACCTTCCAAAATGGTGACATGACAAAGTTTGACATTCAGATGGGTGACATCTATACCCCCCCTTACAGGGCCTCAGCTTTGCTTCCTTAACTGTTTCATACCCAAGATCTCGTCAGTAATCCTCCTTACTGTCTGCTATACATTTCTTATGATGATAGTTCCGAGAATTTGGCATTGAATCGACTAATACAACCCTCATTGATATTTTTCTTCATTTATTCTTACTCATGACTTCAGGGCTGTGGTCTACCAGCACCCAATGGCCTCTGACACCTTACTTTTGCTCTTGGGCAACTCATGAATCTTAGTTTTTTAATAAAATGCATACGCTGGGCACCCTGGACTTCACAGTTTCAGAGCACTGGGCTCCCTTCAATTTTTTTTACAGCACAGCCTTGCACTTGTCTGCTTGATATTGTATTTGATATTGTGGGGAGAAATTCTGTCTTGGTCAGTCATGGGAGTTGAAGAGTTAAGCTTTTTGTTCCTTTAAGTATTTAAATTTTTTTTAACCATTTCTTTCCAACAGGTTGGTTACAATCTCTTAATATTTTAAGATCACAGGGTTTCCATCAAGAAGTGTAGAATGGCATCAAGTAACAGGGGAACATGCATTTCTCCTGGTCTGAACTAACAGAAAAATTTCAGCCCACCAGGTTTTGGCTGGAGTATTTTAAGTAGTAACCACTGAATTCTCCATTTCTGATGCCTTACTGGTACTGTGAAACCATCAATAGCAACATAATGAAAACAAGTTAGCCGACAGATAGTTTTGCTGTAACAACAAGTAATCAAGCAGTATTACTTAAAAACCGATCAACTTACGTTTCTTTGGAACATTACTCTCGATAAGGGTAAGCTCTGATGAGGATCTTGCACCACCATAATTCAATGTTGCAACAGATTCCCGAGGTCGAGCTGGAGCAGGTGAAATTCCACCAGCAGTACTGATGGAACTTAGGGAAGCTGTATTCTTCATTCTTGATAATGAATTAGAGGACGGTGAAAACTTAAAAAATGAGGGAAAATTGCTTTGGGGGTCTTCCTCCTGCAGATAAATATATAAAATACCTTTAATTATTATATATTAAAACAAACAAGATCCAATTTTATAACCTGCTACAAAGCAACAAATAACTTTTCTAACTTGTTGGAGAGGGCGAGTTCACAGATTTTTGAGTGAGATTACAATTATTCCAAGAGCACACATTTACAAGCCTTTTTTTCGCACGGATGTATTTAAATATTCTTTCTGGAACAGATATATTGATTGTTGGAATAAGCTACCATCCTCTGTCGTAGATCATGAATCTGTAAATAGCTTTAAAAAAGCATTGAAAAAAGTCTATCATAAATAATTTATATATCTATAGCATATTAAATTTTTTTAAATTCTTACCCATGCATAATATTGTTAAAGTATTTGTATAGATACATGTAATTTATTACAATTATAATATGGGGGTATAGTTAGCATGGGGATTAAGTTCCTTCCTCTATAACCCAATAGAAATGTAATGTAATGTAATATAATGTGAATTACGATTACGATTACAATAAAGCTGTTATATAAATAATAAAAATTAGATATGAGATGATAGATAGCCAACAAGGTGCATAGTACTGACTGAGTTGGCTGTAGCCAATCTTGCATCCAACAATCACAAATGGAATAATTATTTTATTAAATCCTGTACATTTAAACATTTGGAGCCTTTTTTCAGCTCTACAACAGTTGGCGCAATTATATTTCTATGTAAGGTGACTCAGTATAAGAGGTGATAAGCAGTGTTGAGTGAACCAATCAGAACACTAGAAATGCAATAAATAAGGATAACTCTTATCTATTCTTTGTCAGGGTAATACGGGTATCATCTGTCCACCACTTAATTATATATGGCAGCTACCTGAGAAAATACTTGGACAAGCAATGAAAATGTTACCTCATCAATGCCATACGCAAGCATTTGAGCAGCTCTCTTGTCCACTGCAGACTGGTACTTTATAGGCTCTGACAGTTCATCAACTATGGCTATTGTTGGAACAAAAAATCAAACCTAACCAAAAATACTGAAATACTGCTACTGCAGAAAAAACATAACTTCTCCCAAAACATAGTAAGAGGTCGCTTACAGATACACTTGTCACCGCTCCCTTGTGCACTTTACAGAGTTTTAGCTAATGATACAATGCACATACCTGTAAATCTCTCAGGAATGTATGTCTTCAGGGAAATTTGACAAAACAGTGTTGCTAATGGCAGTGGCATGTTGTTCTCTGTTCTCAAGGAAATATGGCGGAATCCTACCAAAAAATTAGTAATAAAATACCAATGAATATAATTAAGAATATATTTATCTCTGACTATAATTAAACATACAAGTGCAACTTGTTTAATAGACTTAAAAAAAAGATCACATCACCCAGTAGACTGAAATCTTCCCTGTTACTGGCCATGGCCAGGGGCCCGTTTCTCGAAAGTCCCGGTAACTTAACGGGCCTGAAGCCATCTTTTAAAATAAAAATTTAAAAGATGGGAAAGCAGGTTATGACATCCAAACCAGTCCTTTTTGTTTCTTTAGCTGATAGTTTTATTGTATCATTTTCAAAACTTTTGAAATTCCCATCTTGAATGAAAACAGAACAGCTTTACGGGCCCATTAAGTTAGCGGGACTTTCGAGAAACGGGCCCCTGATGACACAAAGCTCATACCTGACTGTAATCCATCTAAAGGGATAACCCTCTGGGCAATCAGTTTATCGTTGTCATCCACAACGCCAAATCGCAATAGTGCAAGTTCTGGAAATACAACCTACAGCAAAAAACCAAATAGATAGTTTATTAAAAACCATCATATTAACTAACAAGAGAATGCAGTTGGGCTTCCAAAACAGAAATGGAGTGATGGTCTTGAACATTTGTAAGTGACTCAGGCATATTGGCCATGACACCTTTTGCTATATCTAAGGCCATGTCAAGCTTCTATTTAAATATCTTTTGACAGCTATGAATGGTTTAGTCTTGTCCCTAGAGCCCACTTGATTTTTACACTGTTGGAGCTTGATAACCAATGCCTGTATAAAAACATCAGTATAGCACCTTTTTGAAAGATAATTTATATGACAGCTGCAGGGTCATTTTCAGTTAGACTGTGGCTTTTCCACAGGAAACCCAAGTAATAATGTACAATGAATTCAAAATTTTATAATTGTAATTGTTAAAGAAGAGGAAGTACAATATAACCTCTGTTTTGGAATACTCTCTACTCAAGAGGTGCTTTTTATAGCTCTCAAAGTACCTCTGTATCCTGCTTTCACTGTGTAACTTTTGTATCTGTTATTTCCATTAACTGGGCACTTCAAATCAGAGGACACTTTTTCTAGTCCTATGAGTGGCCCATCTATTATGTTCTTGAAAGGGAACATCTACTTGCAACCTATGTATCTCTTATCTTCTTTAGAAGGGACCTCGCCAAACAAGGGATGCTTTTCCTGGCCCCAAAAGAGTCCCTTTGTATAACCATTGCATTAGTTTCCTCCATTCAAGGGACCTTCTCACTTGGGGAACTTTTTTCAAAGTCCTTATAATAGCTCTAAATGGGACTGTCCTTTTATTTAAACTGTTGTGAGAGCCACTAAAAATTGTTCCAAATTTCTTTTATGTACAATTATAATCATTTTACCCGTCTGAACTTGAATGTTTCCTCTTCATAGACTGGATCCATGCCATTGTTTGGAACAAATTTTGTCTTGTATTTTTTGCGCAGTGTATCAGTCGGAAGGCCATACATATCCACCTCAACACAGGTGCTTATCCTCTTATCTGACAAGAACTGCCCTGATATCACCTAAAAAATGAAACATTTTTAATTATGAGGTTAGGCTCAAATGAGCAACCAAAGCCCATCACAGTTAGCAGTAAATTCATTAACATTGGTAGTAACAGTAATACCTATAAGTATAACTTCTTTACGAGAACTATAAAAGAATGGAACACACTAACTTCTTTTTTATTAGACCAGCCATCTGTGGACGATTTTAAATCTACTATTATAACGAATTATCTTAGTTCCCTCCACTGATTTTGTATATTTAATATTATATATATATTGTCATTATTATTATTATTTGTGCATTTACTTATTTCTCCTTGTAACATTATAGCACCGCTTTTTTCTAGTAGTTTTTAGTTTTTCACATGCAAATTCACAGTGATGGGAAACCTTTGTGAATTATAGTATATAAATAAATAAATAAACAGTTTCTGAAGCAGGTGTGTTAAATTTAGATATATTGCTTATTTCATTCACCCTATGGGATGTTAGTTCATGACAGGTTACCGTTCAGGGCCAGTTTTCAAAGGTTGATTAGCACTAACCCAGGGTTAAATCTGGCTTTCTTTATGCCTCTGTCCTTGCGACTTTTCTGGGATAATTTTCTCTATTCTTTTTAAGGCATCCAGTGATCAAGTTGTAGAAAAAAATATTTATACTGAATGAAGTTAGTGTGTGCTGGGTTCATACAATGTGTTCTCTATACAGATGAGTTTTAACAATATTAATTAACATTCATTTGAATCTTAAGTTGATTACTACATGCGTGACCCCTACCTCTAACCCAACCCCTTGAGCTCACCACAAACATTCACCCTTTGATAAATACCTTAACAACAACTGAAGCAGCAACCATTCCATCTATGACTGACTCAGTGAATGGATCAAACTGTCTGTCAGACCGTCTCATGAGATCAGGTTTGAGTAGATACCTACACCAAGCACCAGAAAACAGCTGTGTAACTCAAACTTTGCATATCATTCATGTTGGAGAAACCAAACAACTCCTATTTAAAGCAATACATCATTAAAATTCAGGTATGCTTATAAGGAGGGACAGTTTTTCCTCTGGTGATGAATGCTAACTTAAGAACAATGCCATGGGGATGGCTGAAAAGTGTGGGTGGTAGCAGACTGTAATTGTAGCACGGGAATAAAAAATCTTAACAAGCCTATACTGGCCCCATGCCTGATCCCACTTAACTGTCCCTGTTTTACAATTTTTAAGCTTCTGGGGTTTTGTTTACTCCACCAAGTCACATTTTATTAGGTTTCACTGAAAATTTAGTGGTACATCCATGTCTAAGTCAAGGGACACTCATACAGTGATGGTATTGAATACACATAAATGGCCCAGAAAAGGTTTTAACCTGGACCACAGGATCACAAGTCCTCTCTATGTAGACTACAAACCCTCAATAGCCTAGGTGCTTACAACCTAACACACAGTGATGTTCAATGACATACCCGCATCTTTTGTTGTATTCAAATTTTCCATCATTCAGTTGAAAGGCTAAGTCTGTGGAGATTAACAATGGAAACGTAATCCTACTTTTTTTTTTTTTTTAAGTAGATGATGCACTTTTACAAAATGATCTTCTTGAAATAAGTTCTACAAAAAAGGAGAAAATCATCTTTCTTATTTAATTCAAGTGCTTGTTTAAAAAGTATTATTCAAAGGACTTCCCTACTCAAGTAATACAGTGCATCTGTAAAAATAATAAATATTAAATGAACACATCAATAAATATTGGCTGCTACAGTTGCTTCCATTCATACCTGAAGTTTGAAAGTTGAGTGAGACCATCTGGCAGCCAACGTTCCAGAATACCTGAAAGGATTGGAACAAGTGAGACATTTCAATATTCGACTCCTGCAAACTATTTTAACAAGAAGGTAAGAAAGGTACAGAAGACAACTAAATAAACCCAAAGTACATGGGTCAGAGCCTTAAATTAACTGATTGGACTTAAGTTAGATAGAGCAGCAAAAAGTCCCTCTTTGAAGAGACGAGTATCCTTTAATAGACTGTTCAAAGTGCTAAATATGCATTTTTCATGTCAGACTTATTAGATACATAAAAGATGAATGATAGACCGAGTAAATTCATTGTGTCTTTAAATTTGACAACAAATTAACAGAAAACCAAGATGTTAAGTGAGAGTTATATTTTGGTATAAACTATACCATCATCAGACTGAAAATACATACTGTCCAAGGTTGTCAAAACAAGCTGGAAACTGGCATGTTTCAACAACTCTCCTGAAAAAACTGCCAGGGGCTTCAGTAGCTCCCAGAGCCCTTGCCTGCAGGGAAGGGGCCTTCCACCCCTTCTGCTGTCTACTTAGTTTTCATAGTTGGGTTACTTAAAAAACATGTGACAACCCGGACTGTCAGAACTTAATTCTCCTCAAAATAAAATGCACATTTGGTTTTAAGTTTATTTTATTCCAACACAGCTTTTTAACTGAACACCCAAAATCTATACTGGTATTTCCCTTCATAACACAATTAATTACATTTGCCATTCCAAAATAAAAGACCCTTTACCTGTGGCATGTAGTTACTTGAATCCACCCTGCTCCCCCTTGGATAGATCCTGGACAACTGACGTTTGTTATATCTTCATAACCAGTCAAGATTTATTTCCAAAGAACAATTAAAATGTTTTTAGAATACCCAATGAGCAATTATTTCCAATAAGAATAAAACCTCAGAATTAAATGGCAAAAATTAACATCACCCACCAGTTTTCCAAAACGAATGGAATTTGAATATCATGTTGCTCTGAATCTGAGTCTTGAAAACTTTTAATAATTTGAGTTAATATGCTCTTCAGGCATTCTTAGGAAAACATATTTTGTAAAACAAATAGAAACTTATGACTCATACCTTTAACTAAATGTACTTTCATTTTGCAAGATTAGTTCACTACACTTTTCACACCAAGTTACTCACTACAGATACAACCCACAATTCCTCCATTCGGTCTGACGAAGGGCTAACACTCAAAAAGTCAGCTTTTTTATTCGTTATGGTGGTCAATGTACAATTTCAACTTAGTTGATATAACCAAATTACCTTGTTACCCCCACCAACGCAGCACCACAGTTTTCTGTAGCAACTTTCAGCCTTTACTCCCCACAGATCCCTGTTCATATCTGCACAACAAATCAACCCAACTGGAACTTAGCAGAAATCAATATTACACCTTGGTAAAAAGATCACCTTTACCATTTGCTCTGTTCTACATTCTATATACTTAATCCCAAACTAGTCTATGTTTTTGACAAAGTTGCTGTTCTGCAGAAAATACTGAGGTACACAGACTAACGTCTTTCAACCAAAGGATACCTAACGAATTCTACAGGGCTGGCTTTCAGTAAACCAAACCCAGTAGACTCATTAAATGATGAGATGTGATGAGATAAGTTCTTTTCTGCAAGAAAAGAGGGTAAGAAGTAAACTTGATTATCTACTCAATTGACAAACTACTGGGCTGGGTGGTTAGCAGCTTCTCTACTATGAATTTTTATGGTGAAGAGCCAAATATCAGAATTGATTCGTTGTAGTATCTGACCTAAGTAAAAAGAAAAAAAAAATGAAAAAGTTTCACAGACAGTTCAAACTGCTAAATATATATGAAAATTTAATGTTTTAAACAACCAATATTGGCCAGCTTTCTAGTGAAGTGCTCAAAAATGAATTGATTTCTTAGGCAAGAAGGTACCTTACACTACACAAACAAGGCTAATAAATGCATTTTCTTCTCTACTTTGAGTTGACAAGTTGTATTACCTGTCAGAGTTCATCAGATTTGAGTTTAAGACTGAGGGTCATACAACAGCTGTGGGTTAAATCCCAAGTTTGTAAATTATAGAGGGTGTGTGACTAAGTGGGAGGGCCCTGAAGAAAATTATTTGACTCCAGCACTGAATTCATTGGAGTTGGGTTAACCCTTTCACTACCAGAAATGATTAACATATACCTTCTCCCTACAAAATCCAAACATTATTCTTCAAACAGGTATTGAGAATACTGAAAGTTATCAGGCAGGAGTTATCTTGATCTAACACCAAATTCTCATAACTCATTTACTGGTAAACTTGCCACAGCTAGAGGGGAGAATCTTCACTGAGGGTCATATTACAGCTGTTGGTAAAATCCTGTTTCGTGTTACTGAGGGCATGTGACCAAGTGGAAGGGCCCTGAAGAAAAACATTTGACTCAAGCACCACGAGCCAAATTGTTTCCAATATTGCCCTAACTTAACCTGGTAAATAAACATTTTATCATGACTGTGCGCTCTTTCTTTGTTGAAGAGATCTCTGTAGTTCCATGGTACAGCACTGCAGAGTGCTAAATGAGTCAAATATTTTTGTTGTCCCTCATGTAAGAAAAATGGATAAGATGACCATCCAATTTGATTACCATCTTTTTTGTCCCTATTTTACACTCATGACTAGACAGTATGACATATCTAAACCTACTCTCTGCTTCGTCAAATCCAGTAAATGGTACCGGATGAATGTAATTGACGAGTGAAGACAAGTAGGGATGAATGCTTCCAGTGGTTGATGTTGTGGTCATTTGTGCTAAGTATTCCAAGTCCTCTGGAGTAAGACTGGCTGCCCTTGACGTCTTTGCAAAAATTTCAAAGTAAGGTTAGTCCAAAAACAAACATACCGTAACCTGTACCAGAAACAATCAGTAAAATTTCAAAGTAAGGTTAGTCCAAAAACAAACATACCGTAACCTGTACCAGAAACAATCAGTAAAATTTCAAAGTAAGGTTAGTCCAAAAACAAACATACCGTAACCTGTACCAGAAACAATCAGTAACCTGTGATACTGATAACAGTAACATCACTTTGCAGAGTTAACATCAATCTTTGTGAGTGATTAACAAAGTTAGAAGACTGAAAAGCTGGATTCCCTCACTCTTGGCCACAGAGGTATGTCACCGACAGAAATTGATTTTTCTAGCACATGACAACCAATTTAAGAGATTAAGTACCCTATGTTTAAGCTTAATCATAATTAAGAATACAACAGTCAGGTTTTCAGGTCACAAGAAAAAGTACCCACTAAGGTACATGTATGTCACAGCATTGACCCTTTAACTACCACAGTTGATCAACATGTAACTTCTCCCATTTAATACCCACACATCATCCAGCAAACAGGTAATGAGAATACTCAAACTCATCAGGTAGAGGTCGTTACCTTAACCTAACATTAAATTTTCAAAACAAATTTACCAGAAAATGTGCAGGGGAGAATTAACAATCAGATCTTGGGAGCCAGCAGAGGTTGTTATCCTAATCTAACATCAAATTCTCATAACTAATTTACAAGAAAATGTGTGGCAGCTAGAGGGGAGAATTAACAATCAGGTCTTGGGAGTTAAAGGGTTCACAAATACATTTCATGCTGCCATGCATCTGTACAGTACTACAGATGTCAAAATGTGATAAGAACAAAAAAGGGCCCCGCCAGACACTGCCAAGTGTGTAACGGAGGTTCTTTCCACATCTTGACATCTTCTGTGATCTATTGCTGCACAGACTCCCGGCAACATGGAATCTAGTTGTTTTTTATAACGTAACCAAAGTAGAACACACGCTCTGATTGGTCAATTCAGCATCCACCATTTACCCATGAGTATATGCTGCTCATGTGGGCAAATACAAAGACTAGTTTTCTGCACACACTTGTTTTTTTCTGGTCACGTAAGATTTGCTAAATTAAAGGGAACTCTTTTGCTACAATGTATCAATGTTATGTTATAAAACAAATGGTAAATGCCACAGTGTACACCATTGAGTTATGGGTGCACTTGGGAGGTTTGCTAAGCACTCAAGAAGCTAGAGTTGCTCTTGGCTATCACCTCAAGTGACTCTTGTGCTTCTTTTGTGCTTAGCAACCTCCCACGTGTATCCATAACTAAATAGTGTATGCTGTGGTGTTTACCATTTGTTAAATACGATAAAGAAACAAAATTTTGTCAATGGTGACATAATTTTTGCACCTGTCCTCCAATAGATCGTGCATTATAAGAACCAACCAAAATGACTTTGTGTGTATAATTTAACTTATCACACAAACTGTCCTAGTACACAGTCCTGCCGTTGCAAGCATGTCAAATACTGTCTTGTCAGGGCTCAAATCAGGCTGCTGATTGCCAAACAGGTTCAATAGTTTATCAAAGTTTGGATGAAAGGAGTGCTATCAAAATGTTTTGAGTTATCTATGATACGTACCTTCTTACCCCCAACCATGTTAAGTCTCAGTGAACTTCCAAAGCTGGCCAGCTTCTCCTCTCGCTTCTTAAATTCACTGATAACATCCCGCTCTTCATCATCTTCCACATTTGAATCCACACTTTGTGTACTTGCATTACTCTCTTTCCTTCCACAAAAGAATTTTGGATCAACTGAATAGTCTTTGCTGCCTCTGGAAGATGATGATCCAGAATTCATTCCTTGTACCGAAGGGTGAGTTCTTTTAGAATCTACTTTGCCATTGCACTGAATTACTGATGAAATTTTCCCATTTTTTTGGTCATTTTCTTCAGGTTCTGAATCACCCTGAAACTTCTTACCCTCAGATTTTACAGAACTTTCATCAGAATCATCAGCATCTTTGTGATTGTCATTTTCAGTAGAATCAGAAACTTCTTTAATAGACTCAAGCCCACCATTACTGCGGTATGGTTTATGAACAACATCAGGTGTGTTACTTTCTTCTTTGGGAGATGGAAACTTATGTGTCTCCCCACTGTCGGTCACTGTCACAGTTGGCGTTACACAAAGACTTTCACTGTCTGTTGAAACATCTGATGTTGCACTCAAAGTTGAAGTGAGAGAAATCCCTGAAACACGATTTCCTGTAGAAGGCATCACCTCTTCACTAGTTCTTGATGATCTCGAACTACTTTCTGAACTATTGTCTGCTACTGACTCAATTCCTTGCATTTCAAGAAAGTTTCTACTATTCCTTGACATAACAAAGGTATTTTCCAAATCCTTAGATACACCATTTAAGCCTGCATCGTTAAGAATCTTGGAAAGAAGAAAGTTTGAGTACTCTGACAGTGAATCTGACTCTGAACTAAACTGAGAAATATTATCGAGGGTCACTGACTTGTCATCAGAGGATTCTTCTGCTGCAGTGGAGGTAGATTCTCGTAAAAGGTCATTGCAAATTTTATCACTGTATGCCATTATTTTGTCAAACTCCTCACAGCTTACAGATCGGTCACGAGCGTCATCATCATTATCACTTTCTGGCACCTCCTCCTCCTCTTCTTCAATTTCATCATCAATAATAGCAGTTTCTTTTATGCTTCCGGCACGAAATCCTAAATAAGAAAATCAATATGGAAATAAATAACTACATGTGTATATATGCCCCTGAAATTGTGACCAGCTGGTTAGCAATGCAACCAAAGACTAGATGCACCTTTGTGATTTAAGCAATATTGGTTTTCACATACAATTTAAGGCCAAATTTCTTCATCAGGTAATGAATTTTCCTGTAAAACTGAGCTCCTCTCTGGCTCAATGAAAGTTCTTGCTTTCACTGTTTTCCCATGGATTTTTTTCTACTCTTAAATCTTGCATCTTGTAAAGGCCTATGTTGTTATATTACCCAACATCTGAATGATAACCATATTACTCATCATATTCTAAGTTTATACATAATTTTATCATTTCAGAAGAAATCTGACCACCACAATACCTGAAGAGTCAGTGGGTTCATAATCACTAAATATTTCTAAAGGAAAAAAAGAAGAGGACTATTGTCAATACTCATCATAATGAAAATAAAGAAATCAGTCTCCTCTTCTCTGTAAGAGATGTCTTTGAAAAGGATCATGTTTCACCTTCCATTTCTTGTTCCGGTTTGAGTTTCTTGTTCTTGATAATTATTTTTCTTTTCAGATGGCTTGGTGATGGAAGTGGACTACCTTCTTCAATCTGAGGAGGAAACAAAATAAAAAGTTAATAATAAATCTTACCATATCGCTGGCAGCTGTGTCCTGATTGGCTGCACAAGCAGGCAAGGTGGGCCCACCTTGCCTGCTTAATGATTAAAGGACTCTAAAAATGTGAAAATCATATCTGTGAACTGCGGATTAATAAATGAATACAAGAGTGAACTTTGCAGTAATGCACACTACTTAATAAGCAGCAGTGAAAATAAATCCTACAAAAATTCAGGTCTGCATGGGAGTTGAACCCATGACCTCTAGGATACAGGTGCAGAGCTCTAGCAACTGGGAGCTGACCATGATGTTGGTTCGTAATAAACCCATGAGGAGACGAATAAGTGATTGTGAACATATGAAGATCATAATTATTATTTTGCAAATTATCATTATAATAATTGTTACCATTATTAAGATCATTATTTATAACTATTATTGCATCCAATTAATTGTACTGTCTTCAATTCAAAGTGTCTCAATGACAGCTTCTCATTACCAACAATAATCATGATAATAATAGTAATAATAATAATTATTATAATAATTATAGCAATAAAAACATTAACCACTCACCCCCCCTCTTCAGGGCCAACACAAACAAATTGAGACAAACATTGTAAAGAAACATAATTTTGCATAAATCATAATAGCAGGAGGCTGATGAGTTGGTTATACACAAAGGAGGTGAGGTTACACAAAGGTTATACACTAAGGAGCTGAACTCAGGGAAACTGAGAACAAATCTAGTGGGTAGCAGGGTAGAGGACTTGCAAGTCTAAGGATTACAGGTCCAGCAACCTGACCACTCAGTCACAACAAAGCAATGAATTTGAAACAGTCCTTACAGAGTTAGAAATTACTTACTGGATGACTGTCCAGAGGAAATTTCAAAAGCATATCTCCAAAGATTTCAGAACAGTAACTAGCCATTCTGTGCTGTTGGGATTTGCTAGAACAAAAAAAACAAAGCATGGATAAAATAATTATCATCAACACATACTGTACACCTTATACCATGATTGAACTTATAACACAAGTGAATATTTTGCAAGTAATGGGTATAATATGTTGACCCAAATTATAAGTTAAACTATCCATTTAGGGTATCATTTCATTTACTTTACATCTACACTGTAGTTTTCAAAATACATCCACAGCCTCATTATATCAATGGCAAAACATGTGGGCAAAAGATCAAAACAACACAAAAAAGCCATATAAGTGGTATTATGTCCAGCAAAAAAAATTTTCGAAGTGCTAAAAGCTAAAGGTTCACTGCTTTAAATGGTGAAACCTAAAAATGGAAAAAAATCTTTTTTGCTCTGCCCTTCGACTGTACTTTGCCTTATTCTACAGTGTAAGACTGTGAGATATTTTGCATGCTCCATTGCCATAATACAGTCAAACCTCCGCTAACAGCCACCTCTCTCCAATGGCCACCTCTCCATGACGGCCACTTTTTTTGGTCCCATGGGCTGTCCATACATTACACCCCTATCTCCCCAAAATAGCCACCTCTCCATGATGACCACTTTTTTTGGTCCCACAGGTTGTCCATAGATTACACCCCTACCTCCCCATAACAGCCACCTCTCACTGATGGCCACTTTTTTGGTCCCATCCAGCCGTCCATGCATTACACCCCTATCTCCCCATAACAGCCACCTCTCCATGATGGCCACTTTTTTTGCTCCCATCCAGCCGTCCATGTATTACACCCCTATCTCCCCATAACAGCCACCTCTCCATGATGGCCACTTTTTTTG